AAACAAACAAATGAACAAAAGATTTTCTCCTTCATTTCTGTCAAACAAAGCTGTATGAAACGTTTCCAGCTGTTAGTGTCATGGTTGCTAGGCAACCTGGGCGTACTTTAAGGCTGCAGACCCTGAATTGGGATACAGCCTCTTTCTCTTGCCTCTCCGCCTGGGCGGAGCTCACTTCACCTTGGCCCACACACCTGTTGCCCGTCTGGCTGCCATTATGTGTGTGTGCCATTTAAGGCCGAGACGCAGTCTCAACGCTGGATGATTGTGTGAGACGCATTAGTGAGCCTCTAGCCTCAGTGAAGTTTCCGTGTGTAAATCTGTGATTCTGCGTAACCGATCTTTGTTGTGAGTAGTTTTCCTGGACCCATAACCTACCCGCTGTGTGGACATGTGTGAAGAAGAGAGCATGTGTGAGAGAGCTTCCCCTTCCCGGATTTTCCCCGTGGACCCTAACTCCGAATTTCCCCGACTGTATAAATTCTGCACCTGATGATTGTGTGAATAAAACTGAACTCTGCTCTACGCTTGAGTCCACGCCATCGCTTGTGACAGTGAGCTGATCCTGAGATCATTTGGATCAAATGATGCTCCACCCCATATGGCAGTGCAGATGTAGGCCTTAAGCAACTAATGATCCAGTAAGTGTGAGTAGAAAAAGAAAATGTAAAAGAGAAAATCTTGCTAAACACCAATGTGGGTGCCCTCCAGTGGACTATTGACTATAAGTGATTCATGAGTTAATAATAAAAACCTTAAGACCACGCATGTATGCATGCTTGAATGTGGACATTGTTAGAGATAGTAATGTTTATATAGGAGCACTGACTGTGATTGCTGAAATTAACAATCTGGTGATACAATGTAATCAGGACAAAACTGATAATAAAGTTGTGAATAAACGACCAGAATAAATAAATAAATAAATAAATAAATTAAAGGCAAATTAAACAGAATATGGTATAAATACAATAAAAAATAGACAGGGTAAATACTATGTACACTGATATTAAACAATAATGGGATCTCTATAAAGAAAAAAGGGAAGTAGCAGCAAAGATGAAATCACTGCCTGAACATAAACTCAAAACAAACAGAAACTCAAGGAATGAGAACATTTTTGGGTTAACTATTGAAGTATCAAGATGATGGTTGGTAAACACATGACTGCAGACGTGGTTACCAAAGCCAAGCTGCAGTAATCGAGCAGATTGTGTAATCAGCCACACTCACAGCAGCCCTAGAGCTAAATCCATTTAACTGCAGGGCCAGAGGCCAGAGGTTTTTGGAATGAAGATGTAAATAGCAGCACGTGAACACCTTTTCCTACACGAACACAGTCTCTGATAGTCAGAGAGGTGAATGACCCCATAGCCACAGGAGAGGAAAGCCTGGTTAAGAGCACAGAAGCATCTTGTGACAGCAGAGCGGCTGAAGAGCTGTCGGCATTGAAGGACTGGATGGAGTACACAAGGAGCGAGAAATGAATGCTGACCAAATAGCAGGCAGAGCTGACCAACTGGAAAATGAAAGAAGAGAAACAATGGAAGCTGAGAAATGACCAGATAGAAGAGATCTGCACGTGTACCATACACCATACATTTGCTAGAGAAATTAATAAACCAGAGATGTTGGGAGAAATTTCTGGCACATGTAAAAAGTGTGATCGAGGGGATACAAAATGAGAGAGCTGGAGCAAAATCCAGCCCCTCACCAGATCTATTCAATTCAATTCAATTT